CTTCTCCCTTTACTTGCATGTATCACATTTTCAATAACTCCCCTGGAAGACAACTGTATATAGCAGAGATAGGGTAATGGGAGAGGGGGACAGGGCAGAGGGTCAAAGATAGGATAAAAAACATATATATACGTATACATATGTATGAAAGTAGAAATGGAATATTATTGATGATAACATGCTTGATTAAGCCATTATGCAGTTTATCCTAGATGGGAAACTACATTTAGTATGTTGTGATGATGCTCAGGGAATGAGTGTTAGGTAATATAATATAAAAAATAAAAATAAAAAATAAAAAATAAAAAAGAAAGAGAAAGACTCCAGACCAGCAAGTGGCATGGTGGTTAAGGTGCTGGATTCTCACGTGGCTGATTGTGGCTCAAGTCCTGGATCTGGCGCCTTGAGAATCATGCCGGGCACATGTGTGTGTGTGTTCTCAAGGTCCCAGCAGAAGAATTGAAGAGAAGGAATTGTGGTATGCCTATCCTCCCAGAGAGGTAATTTCTCACTTTCCCTCTCACCATTGCTCTCTATTTTTCCATCAAGTGTATGTACCCTATAGCAAAAACCTTTTTTTAAAGAATTATTTTATTTACTTTTATTTATTGTTATTATTAATTTTTTCCCCCAGTTTTATCAGACAGAGAAAGAGAGAGAGGGAAAGCAAGAAAGCAAGTCACCAGGTCCAGGACTTGAACTGAGGTTGGCCATGTGGGAGTCCAGCACTTTAACCTCCATGCCACCTGCTGGCCCCAGCAAAAACATTTTTAAAAACAGAAAAAGAAAAGAAAGAGCGAGACAGAGAGGAAAGAGTATAAGCTTGCCTTCTTTTAAAAAATATTTATTTATTCATTCATTACTTTTTCTTTCTTTCTTTCTTTTTGAGAGGTTTTTACTATAGGGTGCGTGTGCTCGTCAGAAAGACAGAGATGGAGAGACAGAAAGGGAGAAATCACCCATCGGAGGGATGGTCATGCCATAATCCCTTCTCCTCCATTCTCTTCTGGGGATCTTGGGCATGCACGCACACACGCCCAGCGTGAGTTTAAGCCACCAGGTCTGAGACTTGAACTGCGGTCGACTACGTGGGAGTCCAGCAACATAGCCATTATGCTAACTGCTGGTCCCCATTCATTTCTTTTAACTTGACCAGAGAGAAACAGAAACAGAGAGAGAGAGAGAGAGAGAGGAAAAGTGAGAAGGCAAGTCACCAGGTCTGGGACTCAAACCGTGGTCAGCACGTGGGAGTGTCCAGCACCTTAACCACCACGCCACCTGCTTGTCACCAGCTTGCCCTCATTTAATTTACTTGTTCAACCCATGTTGAACAAATCCTGAATATTTGGCCTTTACTCTCTCAGGGGCAGTATAATAACCTAGGCAGAACTTAGGCCACCTCATCTCCAACAGGAATCTGTCAGTCGCAAGTGGTGGAAATTCATCTCAGGGCCAGGCACAGTGGAAATGCAAATGAGCCCACACAAGAAAGGTTCTGAGTTCATATCCTGAAATAGCCCTGAGTGCTGAGACTGGGGGTGGATTATGGTGTGATGACCCTGTGGGGTGTGCCTGTCTCTCTCAGAAATAAATAAATAAATAAACAAAGTTGAAAAGAAAAAAGAAATTCAAGGGCTGGCAGGTACCATGAGGTTAAGGGTGATGGAATCCCTCATGATCAACCGTGGACTGAGTACCGGACCTGGCTGCTTGCTTCTCACTTTCTCTCTGCTCCTCTCTGGTCAAATTTAAATAAATAAATAAATAAAGTTAATTAATTCTTTTTTCTTTTTTTTTTGAGAGGTTTTTGCTATAGGGCACATGCCCTCGCCGGACAGAGAGAGACAGAGAGACAGAAAGCGAGAAATCACCCCCCAGGGGGGATGGCCATGCTGCAATCCCTTCTCCTCCATTCTCCTCTCGGGATCTTGGACACGCATGCACACGCGCCCGGCGTGAGTTTTAAGCCACTGGGTCTGGGATGCGAACTGCAGTCAACTACGTGGGAGTCCAGCGACATAGCCATTACGCTAACTGCTGGCCCCTAAGTTAATTAATTCTTGAAAAAGGAAAAAGAAATGCAACTCAAACTGGTTTGGGATAAAAGGGAAGTTTTAATGACACATGTAATAAAAATTCTTGCATGATGGAGTGCAGTTGGCCTCTGGAATACTGGAACCAGGGAAGTAAAGGCTAACATGATTCTCTCCCTCACTCTGTTGTCTGTCTCTCTTTTTTTTTTTTAATTTAACTTTATTTTTTATTATCATTTTTTTTTTCAGTTTGATCAGAGAGAGACAGAGAGAGAGGAAGTGAGAAAGCAAGCCACCAGGTCCAAGACTTGAACTATGGTCAGCTGTGTGAGAGTCCAGAGCCTTTAACCACCATGCCATTTGCCGGCCACCTCGCCTCTGCGCCAGACATTTTCTTCCCTGAGATGGGGGCAAGGTAGGAAGATGGCCACAGAAAGAACCTATAGGAAGTACCTATTTCTTCACAGCCTAGGCACCCAAAAAAGCTAAAAAAGCTTTTTGTCCCCAAACTCCAGGTCAAAAAATCCAGGGAAGGACACTCCTTGGTTCAGTCTACACTCTGTTCCAGGTGGTGCATGACGATTGGCTCAGCTTAACTCACTTGTGCACTCCTCTGCCAATCACTACAGTGGGAAGGTTAGGTGAGAATGAATTAGCTCCTGTTCCTAACTAATACCCCAAGGAGGGTAGTGAAGTTTCAGCTAACCTTTGCATCAACTATTGTTCCTCCTAAGGCTGGAACCCTGGACTAAGAAGTAAAAAAAATAAAATCATCGGTCTACCAGATGCCCAGGGAACGTCTGAGAAGTGTGACCTCCCCAGCCCAAGCAAACATAGGTCTCTGCATCTAGCAGGCGCCCAATTCACGCAGCGAATGAGTGACTTTAATGCCCTTTTTCCAGAGGCCTTCCAAGAACGGCCCCAAGTTCAGAGACCCTAAGAGGATCAAAAGTGAAGCTAAATAGCTCAATATATTGGGTCCCAGAGCACAGATGGGGGACAGAAGCCTTAAGGGCGGGGCGACACCGAGAAGACCCTGCCACCTCGAAGAGTCCAGTTTGGGGCGGGGCTTCCAGAGGCCAGCATTTGGGATGGAACCATCGTCCATCTGTTAGAGGGGAGAGCCGGAGAAGTCCTTTTGCATCTTTTGCCAGCCTTTTACCACCCTCCGGCCACAAAAACTATTGACTTGCTTCAGAAACAGCGACAGTTCCCTTCTGCACCTCGTTAGGCCTCACAGCTCCACGCAGCCACATATTTCAGGTTTCCCCACCGCCTTCTCGCAGTGGCTCGCCCCAGTTTGACGCATTGCAGGGAAGGCCGAACCAATCGGCGCCGCGCTCTCATTTCCGCCGCGGGTCGGGCCCAATAGCGGCGCGGCTCACAGAGGGACGCGTCACGCGCCGCCGAGCGGTGCCCCTCCGCCGGTAGGAAAGCGTGGTGGGCCCAAGGGGGCGGGGCGCGCGGCCACCGAAAGTAGTCCCGCGGCGGGAGCGCGCGCGCGCGCTCGGCCGCAAATCCTGGCCCTGTGTGGGGTGGAGACCAGAGGTCCGCGGGCCCGTCGTTGCCGAGCGGGCGCGGAGGGATCCGCGGGAGCCGCAGGGGAGCGGCGCGCG